AAATTCGGCGGAGCTGACTTGTGTGCTGAGTCACATCTCCGCTTACTTGCTGATGAGCAATGCTAGCCTGGAAGGTGTGTCGCAGACGCAGTAACTGTTTCTGGGAGGCTGTGATGGGCATGTGCATGCAAGCGGCGAGGGCAAGCGAGTCATGATGAAGCTGAGATAAATTCGGCGGGCTGATGCCATGTGATGAGTCACATCTCCGCTTACTTTCTGAGCAGTGAGCCTGGCTTGGCAACGTGCACTAGGAGGTACTAGCATGTTCGTTTTTTGGTTCTGCTTGGGGAACACGAGATGCTGGAATTCAGTCGTGATGAAGCTGAGATAAATTCGGCGGGCTGACGCCATGTGATGAGTCACATCTCCGATAAGTGACCTTGCATGCTCGTAATTCGCACCGGTAGCTGCTAGCTTGTTGGGCACTATTCCCTGGTGGAAATCGAGTTCTGCATGCTGGCTGCGCAGTGTGGCATGCAGCGAAACTTGAGAGGGAGATGACATGGAGAGTGTGCTGCCTTTCTAGCTACATCTCGGCTTTTTTCAAGTGTTTGGGTTTAGGGTTTGGGGTATAGGCCCCCTTAAGTAGATAGAATACGGTTTTGGGTATGTGATAAGAAGATCCTTAAATACCTTATATTCTATCTACTGAAGGGGGCTATACCCTAAACCCTAAACCTCATATTCTATCTAGTTAAGTTGGACCATACCCTAAGCCCTACATCCTATGCATCCTGGGTGTCGACGAAACTGTGCAGGACGCACGTGCAGGTCTCCGGGAGAAGCCGGCAGCAGATGAGGCCGAAATGTTGCCCATTGGGGTAATATTAGGGTTTAGGGTTTAGGGTTGGATGATGGAAACGAAAATGGAAACTACGATATATATTAGGCTTATATGGGGAGAATGGAATAGAAAATGGAAACTACCATAATGGTTTATATAGGGTTTAGGGTTTAGGGTTTGTGGCGTTATCGGTCAGTCTCTTTTTCTGGCCGCAACGGAGCACTCCGGCGATCCAATCGAGAAAATTCTGCGGAAACGCCGCAGATTGCTGAGGCTCACGGCAGTTAAGTAAATACTTTGGTTGGATAATGGAAACAAGAATATGGAAACTGTTATGGTAATAGGGGTTACATTGGGGTCTGTGTTTAAGGGGATGTGTGCATGTGCTTTTGCGCGCAGTCATGTCTAGCAGCGTGTGCAGGAAGCTGCAGCCCCGGCTTCGGCGACAGCTGTTCAGGACGGCAGATGTCGACTCGTGGTGTACTGTCCACAGCATGTTGGAAACGTGTTGTTGGCTCCTGGGTATATGACATGTTAGGGCAAGCCCGCGCATTAGGCTACACAATCACACTGGGTCACACGATCACAAATCGAGTCTGCAAGCACTTGAACAACGAGGAGGAACTGTCTGATCAGATAGTTGCCCTGACATATCATGAAAGTTAGCTTGCTGGCTTGAGTTGTCTATTGCTGTAGCAGCACGTAGTAGAGGGCAGACAAGGTCTGGAAAGCTGCGAGCTACTGATTGTATCGCAGGATGAGCCTCTGTGCTGGGCGAGCTTGGCTAGATTTCGCCTCAAGTTTTGGTCAGACATGGCCTATCCAAAAGTGCTAGGAGCAGCAGAAGCAGCGTCTGAATCTGTACTGTAGTACTCGTAAGCCCAGAATTCAGGGTTAAAGCGCGCTCGGATTAGGAGTGCTCTGCTGAAATCCTGAACGAACTTCGGCAGCTTCGTGAGAAGTTGGTGGAGGCCAGCTGTAGTGGCTGCGAACACATGCTTTCGTGCTTCTTTCCCTGGCCATCCCTGCGGTGCCCAGAGCGTTTTCTTGGGACAGCTCAGCGCAGAGTGCCACACGAGAAACAGTGCCTGAGAATCAACACTTTGAACTGATTGTCAATAGCAGGCGCCCAACGCGAATGTTTTAGGGGGGCTAGGAAGCATTTAAACCCAAGCATTTAAATATTGAGGTAGGGGTCCTTATTGTAAAGAAGTTAAATGCCTATAGTTAAATGCCTATAGTTAAATGCTTCCTAGGGTTCCTAAATGTTAGTACAGAATGTTACAAAAACTGATGGTTCACCTTGGGCTTGAGGCAGCTGCTGGAGAGGCTGCGGCGAAAGAAGCCGAGGCGACCACTGAAGACTTGTCCGACGACTTCTGCCATGCTTCGGGCAGTGGTGTAAATACTCAAAGAGGGTGGTTGTCAAAATTATGGTCCCTTTTTGGGTACCCTAAATATTAGGGGCCGTATTATAATAGGGACCCAAAAAGGGACCATAATTTTGACTACCAGCCAAGAGCAGTGCATTCTGGAAGCAACCGCGATTGAAGATGAAGAGAGGGCGGCGTTTTTTCGAGACCTGGGATCGGGAACTCCAAAAGTTCCCTTGGCTTGTCTCGTGAAACCGTATTCCAACAAACATTTTGTTCATTTCATGCCCCTTGATGATTGTAACATGCCGCTTCATCCTGCTCGAGCAATTTGTCGCAATACCCTGCACCTCTCAACACTTCGATCCTCAAAGCTTTGCTTTGTAAAGTTGCAATGGCTGTGATCGATGTTGCGCCAACGCTTGAAGAGCTGGCGCTTGTTGATGTGA